TCTTCTTCTTCTTCTTTCTCTCAACACCAAGAACCTCATCCCATCCTCGATACCTTTCTCTCTCCTCTTTGCTTAGAAGTGGAGAGGGAGAGCCCAGACAAAAGCTTTGTACTTTGAACAACCTCATTTTGTCCTCTTCATCTCTTTTAAAAGCTCACCAGAGTCTCTCTCATCGCTTTCTTGGAGTGATCTTCTCCTCCTCCTGTCTCTCAACCACCACCTCCTCTTAACTCTTCATACAATGGCCTGAACCCAGCTCCGGAGCCATGACGGCCAAGACCCACGTCCAAGACCTTCCCACCAGGCCGCCGCAGGGGCATTGCCGCCGTGCGTCGCGAGGCAGGCCCTGGTACGACCTCCCCGAGAACCCCAAGGCTGCCGAGGCCCTTCGCCGGCTCCGCTCCCCCTTCCTCCTCTTCTCCGTGCTCCTCTCCTACGGTCTTGGGTTACTGTACTGCACCTCCATCTTCTCGGCCGTGGCGCCGCCGCCCGCCCCTCTCCCCGGGTCGGTGTACCGGAGCAAGGAGCTCTTCGAGAAGCTCTTGCCGGACCTGCTGTCGGTCAATTCCTCCACTGTGCAGGTGAGCCTCGTCTCCTCTCTTTGATCAGTACTAGGGTCACCGTGTCATCTTTAATGCGATCCTGTTCATGTATTGCTACCCCCTGTAATTTCTTTGGCTTCTCTCCTTCCATGTTGCAGAACAGCAGAGGAAATTAGTTCCTATTACAGCTGCTCTTAGTTTACCACACCCTTTCCTCATGATTGCATGTAGGAGATAGTGGCATCCATGTTTCAGATATCATCATTATGCATCATGAAAAAGTAGTTTAGCTTCTTTTGCTTGATGTGGACGTGTCTGAAGTCCAAAAGCCAACTTATCTTTGTTTTTGTTGAGACCATTTCCTGCAGCAGCTTATACCCATCACATTAACAGGAGGGATTAATTGAACCACCACCATTTTATATTTTGTGTCTCTGTTGACTAACATAATTTAAAGAACATGTCCTGCACGCCAATTCCTTTATTTTTGCATGTTCAGCACTTAATGGTTTGATTCTATGCTGTTGCTTTGTGATGGTCCATTGACTTGCCAAAATAAGTTTGTTCTTTTATGAATGTATTTTCCTTAAATATATCATCATGGTTGACTAAGAACATGTGGTTATTCATTTGTAGCTGAACACAATCTGGACAAGTAGAAGGAAACTGAAACAGTGGAAGGATTGCACAAATCATAAAACGGAACACCCCGGTACGTGCTATATGTTTGACTAAACCACGAAAAGATTGGTAGATAATTGATGATAAGTGTTCGGTATATAAATCAAATCCGAGTTGTTGGTTTTGCTTGTTTATGGACTCTGTTTGACTTCCTTGCTGAAATGATTATTGATATGACTTTAATTGGTCCTGTTGCCACAGCAGGGCTTACAAATCTTGAATTTGAGGGTTCCTCCCCATCCTTGATCTTGACTATGTTCCAGATGTGTTGATAAACAACATACCTTCGTGGTTTTTTTCCTCGAAAAAAAAAGGATACACTCCATTCTTTGAATAGTCTTCTTCGCATTCTTCATTACTTCCAACGTATGTACTTATATAGATCACCATACAAAATCATTGGTTTTATCCATACTGATGGTGGGTTGAAGTTCTATGAGTGCCTAATTTTTGTTGATTAACTCAACAGGCTTAGAAATTCCTTTCTTGGGCAAAATGTGCCATTGGAATTTGATAAAATTTTTAAGGTCATGCATCCCATTATTCCACCTTACAAAATTATGTGATAATCATGACATAATCAAAGTAAAAATAATTCCAATTCACAGTGCATACGATTTCTTACCTTTTTCTAAACCATTCAAAATTCATATCACTACGTCAAGAAACTGAAAAAAGTGATGGACATTGTGATCTTGATAGGGTTTATGTGCTCTACAATTTTTCAGTTTTTTTCTTAATGAAACCTGCAGATATCCTAAAGTATTATCTTTTTCTGCAACATTTAGGATAAAAAATCATCTGACATAGTATGTTAAATGTGTTCTTTTATTGTTATGTGGATGATTTCCTAAACAAATGTTTAGCTTATCTTTTGATTTCTTTGAGTGATGGAGTTACGATTGAAAGGACAAATATGACCAGAGTGATGAAAATGCATGTTGAAGCATTTGACCTAGGACGGATATATGTCAACAAATAGGTCTTATATTTTTAGGAAGAACCTATTCTGTAACCAAGACCTTGTGGTCCATAAGGTATTTCCAACTTGTCATGTTGCATGCATTTCAATTTCCATGAGAAGCACCATTCTATATATTAATAATAGCATGAAATGCAATTGCTTTATACAAAATTACCTTAACACAGAATACACATAAACTCAAGAATCAAGATTATATTTGTTCACTGGTGTAGAAGCTTTGTTGAGAAAATTTTCTTTTATGATGCACTCATTTTTACTTTTAATCTACAGGATCAACTGAACCATTTGGTTACCTGATAGTTGATGCAAATGGTGGTCTTAATCAGCAACGTTCCTCGGTATTTAGTTCATCTTAATGCCGTTAGCTATACAAAGTAGAGGAATGTTGAGGTTTCATCTGCCTTGCTCTGCAAATACATCTCATCTTCTGGTTAATACTTAATATATGACTTCTGGATGTCAGATATGTAATGCCGTCGCACTGGCTGGGCTTCTTAATGCTGTCCTCATGATCCCAAACTTCCACCTTCACAACATCTGGATGGATCCAAGGCAAGTAAACAGATAGTCTTTGCTTAAGCCTTCAATGTGAGACAAGAAGCATTCTCTGCTGTGTCATTGGTTTACTTGATCTAAATAAGTTGACAATTTTCTACTTATTTTCTTTCAGAAGTAATCTTCTGTTGGCCTTTATGTACGCAGTACTGTCTTTGTTCTCTGTTGCCATACTGTAGTTTGTTAGAGATGTTAATTTCGATTCACTTTGTGTGTACTGTTATGAGTTAGTTTATGGTCATATCGAAGAAAGTACTTGTGACCAATCTCTTGAATATCTACTTGGATAGGTCTATTTTTCTGCATCTAATAGGTTTGGGTGGCTGGAACCATATTTTCAGAAGTGTAAAACAGACAAGTGATTTTGAGATATTGTCGTTGGAAATTGTCATTTGAGGATCATTAAATATCTGCTAAAAAAATTGAGTTTCCCTGTCTAGATTAGATGATAATGAGTTGTATGTATATGTAATTCAGTGTCTACTGCTTTTTGGAAAGAATCTTCTGGAGTTTAATTTGTTCCATATTAGGATGTGATTTTGATTCTGGAACTTGTATAATTGAAGATGCTTGTTCATGATGTTCAACCTCTGAAATAAATTTGAAGATTTTCTTATCCTCTTTACAGTGAATTCAAAGATATCTACGACGAAGATCATTTTATAAACACGCTTGAAGGCCATGTGACAGTAGTGAGGGATATACCTGAGATGGTTATGGAAAGATTTGGTTACGATATCAGCAACGTACCAAACTTGAAAGTAAAAGCTTGGGCATCAAGCAGTTATTATTCTGATGTTGCAGTACCGTTGTTACAGGAGCATGGGTATGTTTCACTGCTTCTGCCTTATCTAGAGTATAGTTTTCTTTTTTGCTATGAACTTTGCCTCCATTGGGTGTTCTCCTTTTAATGTGCGTAGTCAAGTAGTAACTCCATCAATGCTTTATATTGATAAAATTATCTTATATATAAAACAAGGAAAATGATAATTTCTTGTTCATTAAGGAGGCATCAGCAGAAAAAATCCATATTTCAGGAAAAACCAAACCATGTTTTCAACTTATGATTGATTTCGTGCTGTATATTAGACTACATGCAGGTAGAAGGCTTGTTGACATTCCACAAGGAATCTGCGAGTTTCTGGTTTCTGTCAGTGCCATCTTCAGTGTAATTCTTGTGCTTGTTACTGTGGCAAGATTTTATAAGTCTATCCTGTTAGTGCCGCATTCAACCTGTCTGGTTTATTTTGGTATTGTATAAAGGAGACCTTCAGGATCTTATGACACAGAGATTATGTATATTTTTTTCATAGTACACATAAGATAAACTGATGTCTCAAGGATTTTGCAGGGTTATTCGCATAAGTCCATTTGCAAATAGACTGTCAAATGAAGTTCCATCAGACATGCAGAGACTTCGGTGTTTAGCTAATTACAAGGCACTAAGGTTTTCTCTCCCAATAGCAGCAATGGCAAAGAAGTTGGCCGGCCGTATGGTTGAGAAGAGCTCATTGTCTGGTGGGAAGTATGTCTCAATCCACCTTCGCTTCGAGGAGGTATCGAATTCTGAACCAGTGAGGTCATTCTATGTGTTAAGCTAGTCGGTGATTTTATTCCATGTTCCTTCAATTGCAGGACATGGTGGCCTTTTCATGCTGCATTTATGATGGAGGGATGTCCGAAAAAGTAGAAATGGATTCTGCTCGCCAAAGAGGTTGGAAGGAGAAGTTTAAACTCCGAGGTCATTGTTTGAGACCAGACCTAAACCGAATGCAAGGAAAATGCCCCTTGACACCTTTGGAGGTACCTCACAAAGCTATATATATCTCGACTGTTTCGATTTGGTGACATAATCATCTTCGGTTCAAGTTTTTTTGGAGGTAAAATTTTAAAAAGTTTTTAAAACATAATCATTGTAGATCATGATACTCCATGACAAATACGCAACTCCTTTTGATTGTTGTATATAACTTACAAAGCTACGCATACATAATCATTTTTGCTTATGTGTGCTCGATGACACTTAAATGAGTACTTTACTGTTTTGCTTTAATTTTTTGGTAGGGCTGAAGCCGATATAGTAGGTTTCAAGAGGTCATAAAATCTTATCTCGATTTTTCATTCGGCACACGAATAAGATTTCTTCCTTAATATGCATTTCCAGGATATTTTTCATGTAATTGTTATTGTTAGATCTACCCCGATCTGTCCCAAAACATTATAATTTACCCTGAAAACTCTGATCAATCAGTTGCCTGCTGAAACTTACATGCTACTAAGATCTATAACTAGTTGTCTTCTCCCCTGTCAGGATAGGCGGGGATGATGTTAAGGGGTATGGGTTTCAGCAATGACACTCCTATTTATTTGGCATCTGGGAAACTCTACAAGGAGGAAACACATTTAGCTCCTCTACTCCAACTATTTCCTCTCCTTCAAACAAAAGAATCTCTTGCTACTTCTGAGGAGCTTGCTCCATTTCAGGTACATTAAAGGCTTCTAATGCCTTCCTTATACGGTGTCATTCCCAATTGAACTGCGATAATCGTAGCACAAAATTCCGATGCAGAACTACTCGTCAAGAATGGCTGCTCTCGACTACTCCGTTTGCCTTCACAGTGAAGTTTTCGTGACCACTCAAGGTGGCAATTTCCCACACTTCATGATGGGCCACCGGCGCTTTCTCTATGGTGGCCATGCCAAGACCATCAAGCCAAACAAGCCAAAGCTAGCCGTGTTGTTTCAGGACACCAACATCAGGTGCTCCTGCATCGTGTATTCCTGTTCTTCTTGCTAGTGATTGCTTGAGTCCATGAATGTGAACCATTGATGTTCGATTCACTGCAGTTGGAAGGCTTTCAGAGGACAATTGGAGGTGATGCTTGATGAGAGTGAAAGGAAGGGGATGGTGCTCAGGAAGAGCAGTCAGTCAGTCTACTCCTTCCCTTCACCAGATTGTGCATGTCTCCATGATCATCAAGCCAACTCAACATTGTTCAAGAGATATCAGCACCACCATGGAGTTGGCTGACTGCAGTGTTCATCTCTCCACCTTGGAACCTGAAGGAGAACCCTTTTTTTGTGTTGAACACCTTCATCTGAGACAGCACCTGCTTGGTTTTTGCAGCAGGATGTGGTTGCATGACTTTGCCTCTCATGTAGAAATGATATATTGGAGGATAATGAGTGATTTTTCTATGCATTTGCAATTTTTTTAATCTTTTTTTTTTTTTTTTCTGTTTTTGTTTGATTGATGGACATGGGAGCCAACAAAATGAATATTTTGGTGACCTATTTTTCCTGTGATTAAAGTGCATTTTGGAATCAATGTTTGAAGTAATTGAAATTTCTTCCTCTTTTTCGGGGAAAGAATTATAGATAGAGAAATAAGATTATATGGTACGAATTCAGTGCAGCAATGTAAACATAATGAAGCACATAGTTTAAGTAGTTACTGACACAGAATTGGCCTCCTCCTGTTGTTTATGTCACCTGCAGGAGAACAGCCGACATAGCAGCAGATTACAGCACACCGAACACAGAGGAAGAAGACGATGAACGACAAGCGCGCAGCTATACGTATACAAGCATGCACGCATGCATGCAGCTGGTTCAGGGGTCTCATGCCAGCGTCTGCTTCATGGGGTATATGAGAAGCTCCCCGGCGGAGCCGCCGTCGACGAGGGCGGCGATAGACTCCGGCGTCTTTTTTGTGAAGTCGGATCCCCAGGTTCGTAGCCACACGTCTTGAAGGCTACCCTCCTCGGGGAAGAGCAGCCTGTAGGCGGTCAGTTCCCCGTCGGACGACAGTTGCGCCTTGCAGGTGGGAGCAGTGGCCTGCAGACCCCGTCGCTCCTCCCTGGAGGATGCGGCTTCCACCTCGCTGGCCCCGCGGATGTGCATGGTGCACGTAGTCTCCAGCACCAAGGTGTAGTTGCCGTTCTTAAGCAGCGCCCCGCCAGTGGGCCTGTAGATGAAGTCGTCCGACGAGTACATGATGTAGCCCGAGCTGTCAAAGGACGATGACGCGAGCCGGCGGTTGGAGACCGTGTCGTCGCTGCCGCTGCTGTTGGCTATGGATTTGAAGCTCCACAGCGAGGGGCCGTAGATGCGGAGCGTGCCGTCGGGGCGGAGGAGGAGAGCGTAGCTCCCCCGACGCGCCGGGCTGCCTGTTGTCCACAAGGGAATGCCTTCGGTGTCGCTGACGACGGCCACGCCGTACCTGTTGATCCAAAATATGCAGTCGATGGCTCGGGCTACGCTGCCGGAGTTCCATATGATCATGTTGTTGGTGTCCCTCAGGACAAGGTCACAGTCGACCTGCAAGGTCAAGGTGGAGCCATTGTTGGTCAGGCTGTCACCCTGCTTGAGGATGCTGGACTCGAGGTGAGAGAAGAGAGCAACGTCGTCGTCAGCGAGAACTGTCAGGGTCTCGAGGGAGAAGAAGAAGAAGAAGAAGAAGAGGTAGATGAGCAGAAAGGAGTTCATCGTACGCCCGGGAGCAGCTGCCATAAAAGCTCGCTTGCTCGCTCCCTCGATGCCTTACTCTCTATATATAGCCTCGTTAGGGTAACGTGACCGCACAGGGTCCATCGAGGCCCGTTGATTTCATCCTCTCTTCATCATCGAATCAAACGGACGGTTGAGACGACAAGATGGAACGCAATATAGAGCTTACCCTACGCAGAGTTTGCATGATCGGAAGCCTTGTCAGCATGTGGCATCAAGTTTTCTGCGTCTGACGTGTACATTTGTACGTGACTCCTCAATTGTTGCCACATACATCAATCTAATTTTGACCGGTCCCATTGTCAGATAGGTTGTTGTTTGCATGGGTAAGCAAATAGCACGTACGACTTCTCAGCCTCAAGTGTTCATTACGTTGTGTGATCATTATACTTGGACAAAAAGGTGGCGACATATAGCATTAAATTGCTCACGTACTGACCATAGTGTTGTGCGAACACTCTGATGCAACCCAGTAGTACTCACGTATGTGTGACATTTCATGACAGATGCTTAAACCATGTAAAATACGTAGATGAGGGACAAACTGATACGATCTATTGCTAATTAGGAATCTCCCTATCCTATCTTTCCTTCCACACGCATGCAGACAATGTCGATGCCATATCCTCGTAGTTCTTGGATTCTAACTTCATGTACGACCTCCCTAGCTTCCATGGCTTTTACTTCGAAACATCATGAACAAGAGCACTATTCGATGATGATATGTGTACAGTATATATGCAGCCGGGCAATCTGAGACAATACGATGATTAGCTTTTGTGTTTGCTATAGTATGTGCTCGTTAAACCGGACAAAGATGTGGCGACATGGCATTAGATGACAGTGCTGTACGTTCGATATGATGCAAGATAATAGTTATCGTATGTGTGATTCGATTATTGATCGAAGGTCGCTTGTTCTCATATGCTTAATCCATAAAATGCTACGCCTACATGGGACATGAATAATATTACCGTGCAGCATGGATGCAGACATGGTTTACAGGAGTAATTGAACTCTGTCATCACTACATCACAGTTCTTAGGTCTCTCCTTTTCATCTTTGTTTACTCTCTTCGATCATTTTTGCGAGTCATTCATGTATAAAGCTGTCATGAGTGACCAGCACGGTTGCAACCAAGAACACCAAAAAACCACTGCCAGTACACTGCATGTCAATGGCATCTATCTTGTTCCTTCCCCTCCTCTACTGTTTCGCCTTCTGCCTTCTCCTTCGCCCGGTGGTCTCCGTGGACGCGTTGTTCAACGAGCCAGGACAGTACCTCTTGGCTCCGCGTAGCCTCGGCGACTTCGGCTTCTACCTGGGAACCAACTGCAGCATCCAATATTGGCCGAAGCGTGCAAAGAAGTACTACTACCTTCATTCGGGTTTCCCCGGCGCGAGGGGTTGCCAGCTCTGGATGAACTACAACGGCACCTCCCAGCTCCTCCCTGCCGGCGAGGTCGAGCCGAGGAAGTTCAAGCCCGAGGCCACCCGTTCCGGCTACTACGTTCTGGCCGGCGTCCAGGGCGACACCTACGTCTACGGCCCGGCGATTTTCTGCACGCCCAAGGAGCTGTGCCTCCCGGCGCTCCCGCACGCGGTGGCGCCGCGCTCAGACGGACAGCGGCTCCTCGACGACCGCGACGTGGGGCTGGGCGGCGCGGTCATGTCCGGCCCCAAGGTGGTCTTGCCCGGCGACGTGCTCAGCTACGCGAACTACACGCTGCGCCTCGACAGCACCTGCAACCTCAGCATCGTGGACGTGGGGAGTGGCGAAGCGACATGGACGACCAACACGGCCCTCCCCAATCTTCCTGTGATCGAGTGCCAGATGTTCTTGAGCCCCATGGGCGAGCTGGTGCTCAGGGCTCAGCACCCCGACGGTAGGATCCAGCGGCTCTATGGCACAGGCGCGATCGCCGGGCACTACGACGATCCCGGCCACCTCTACGCCCTACGCTACGACGGCAGGCTCATGATCTACCCACCCAAGCCATGGGGGGCTTGGTTCGACCTAGATCCCAAGCCAGTGGCAGTAGCATGAGTGTCTACGTTAAGAAGCTCTTCTCTGCGTGCATGTTGTCTTCATCGATGAGTTCGTCCTCACGACGTGTCAATGTATGCATGCATGTATTCATGTAGGATTATACACATACGCCTGTGTATGCAGCTGGGTGTTTGTAGTGTAACTTTGCTACCATGAAGTATAAGGTTATTTGTGTAAGATATGCGTGGTCGATCGTCTAAGGTGTGATCTTGTACAATGAAATAAGAAGAGAAGGGTTTTACAAAAATTATTATTATTATTTGCTTGTATCTATCGATTGGCTTACATTTAAGTGACATCATGATAAAAATGTCTTACGAAACATCTTCGGTGTTATATGTCTTAAGAAACATCTTGTTGTGCTAGTTTCTTAAATGTCATGTGCCACTTGAACTAGGGGATGCTTGTTGGAGCTTTAATAAGGATCGTCTCGTAGACTTTATATTTTTTTATATATTTTCTATGTAAAATTTGTTAATTGATTCATCTTATACTTAGGAATCACCTCCAAGTAGGTTCCTATTACTTTCGGCTTCGATTAACACTATGTTGAGAAATGAAGTAGATAATCTACTTTCGATAGAATCAATCACCATTAATGAGAATTTGATAATTATTGTCTTTCATTAAGTTTCTTTGAATAGTCTTTGAATATGTGTAGAGCTTTTTTATTGGACAAATAAGAGAATTGAGGTACTCAGTTTTACCTATTCTCTTAAGAGTTGAAAAAACAAAGGTTTTATGCATCGAGCTAGTTACTACTCGCCTCTTCAATAATTGTACTTTATGCATCAAGCTAGTTACTACTAGCCTTCGTCTACTCTTTACATACTTATAAAGTACTTGAAGTATTTACACTCCTTGTATTAAGTTAGCTATTATAATTCACCTCCTCATTGCCATCAAACTTCTAGAATGTATGAAGTTTTCCTCGAAAAGAGCAAAATTTTATCTTGACTTAGGAGCAAGTCTCCGATAATTTTGGTTGCCTATGGGGTTATACCATCTTCTCCATCATTTTTATTACCTACTTATTTGAGTAGAAAGGGTATAACACCATATATTATTTACTTTATTCCTTAGTCAAACACTCTTTTATCGATCTAAAATCTCCAACTTTTAACTATCTTGATGAGAAGCTTATCGACATCGATCTTACATAATTTCCTACCCTTTGTCATTTTATCTTGTCTCGATACCTCGAGTTTATATTTGCAATCTCTACCGCATCGGTCTCCTTTCATAACCATGCACTCTCTTTCTATGAGAGTAAAAGATCGATGACTTCATGGAAGTCCCGCACTTGTGGTATCATTACGCTACCACCCCATGACCCTACTATCCGTTGCCACACATTTGCACCCTTTTTTTAAGCGATCGGTAGATCCGCCTTGGTAGCATTATGACACTCCTCCAAGTCCACCTCTATCCTAATCAACACTTAGTATTAAATAGCTAAGTCCTTTTGGACTCATTATTGCTTCCTTGTCCCTTTTAACCGCCTGCTTTAACTCCTTTATATTCTTTGAGGAGTTCCCCTTGATCAATAAAAAGATAGACTACAACTCTCATGCAAAGCCTCCATTATCATGTGGCAAGGCTTGTGTCGATTCTATTCTCCTTTGCATCATCGATAGCAACGTTTGCTCACTCTACATTATCCTCTGACTTGTCGGGCTTCCTTAAGTAATTCTAAGCTATAAAGTAGTTTAACTCTCTAATCGCTCTAATTATACCTTTATATGATCAACAACCCCCTTATGAGACTTACTAGTAATTATACTTAGAATTTTTTTTAGTAGTACATAGTCTCGATATGCTGATGACCAAGACTTTCTTCCGATATAAAATTCAATACATGTACATAATACCCACCTTTATGATACCATGACATTCACACATTGAATTCGTAACCCATCTTTCCATAATGCAGCTCATTGAAGTGGAGCTCCAATTATACTTATATCATTATACCAATATTAATAATATTTTACGTAATTTATATATTTTATACATTTTAAATTAATTGCTAAATAACTACAAATAATAACTATACCCATGAGAATTTTCAGATTTATGTTAAAATATATAAGGATCAATATGTTATTCTCGAACTCTTGAAAGATACATTATGCAATATATAGCCAATACTCCCGTTTATATTCGTGACATAATATAAAATATTATCTACTGTATAAACGGGTTAAATGATCGCGTTTCGATCCGATCCGATCCGATTACTACGCTTGGGTGCATCGCGTTAAATGATCGCGTTTCGATCCGATCCGATTACCCCATCCCCGTGGAGTTCGTCACTGTTACGTGGTCTCCGCGGCATCTCCTCTAGCGACGACGATGGCAGCGGCTAATTGCGGAATCAGGCAAAAGTGGATGAGAGGATTGACGAGGAGGAGAACTAGGAGGAGGAGGAGGCGTTTTAGCTGGAAACCCTAGGTCTGTTTGATCTGTACCTTCTGCCTGGCTACTCGTCAGAGGAGATCAAATGGTTTCACCAATGCGTCGCTTCGATAGGTAAATGGATGCCTAATGCTTTTACGATAAGCAATGGCATTTAGGTTTCATGAATTGACTTGCTGCCCTCCGTAATGGTGCATTCAGTTTGGTTTGGGGCAATTCCATGCTAGTGGAGTTGTTCATCCTGACATGATGGTTTGGGGTAATTCCTTTCTGTCAATGTCGTTGGTCTGGCCAATCAACTTGCAATCTTGCTATTGATAACTTTGAATCTTAACTAGGAAGTTCAAATGATATCAAGCTAACTGCAATTGCTTGTTTGTGTTTTCCATTTCATTTCCACTAATATTATGTTGTTTCAGTCTTTCAGATGTTAAGATAGGTTTGGGAGGCAAGTCTTTACATTGCATGTTATCAATGTTCTTTCTCTGCATTTATTTTTCTGTTACCTGTCATATCATTGATTTTTTAAAGAGAAAAGGGAAAACCATTTCATTAGCCTCCCATTACAGAGGTTCAAAATTAGCAAGAGACAAAATTGGGAGCTTCAGCTCCCCATATGGAGATATTCTGAGATCGCCTGCCATGGTTAGCAAGTGTATCTGCTAAGAAATTTTCCTCTCTGGGAAAATAGTGAAAACAAATTACATTTGCTTTCAAAGAAAGATTCAGAATATCCTGAATTGGCAACTTCAGGTGCCAATGAGGGTCGGATTTTTGTTTGACAAGCTCAATGATCTCTTTAGCATCAGAGTGGACTTGAACATCCTTTATGTGCTCAGCCAATGCCCTTTTTAAGTCTCCAATTATGGCATAACACTCTATCTGTTGATGTCCATAACTCTACATGGGGTTGTCATGTCATTAATTTGCTGTTGCATTTGAACATTTTGTGTGAATGCATTAGTTTCTGCATGTTATTTGACATTTTGAAATCTGGTGTCATGCATATTGAGCCAACAACTTCCATCAATTAAGATAATTTTTGTTTAAGATTAAAAGAGATGGATGTTCTAAGAATTTCTAAGTGCATTTTCTTGAAATTCATTGCCAGACATCTGAAGGTGAACAAGGAAAGTAACAGTTCCTAATGAATGTGAAAACATTACCAAACAAAATGGCATTAGTGAAATTTACTTACTGATATATTTGAATGAAGTCTGTTACATACAATATTTCCCTCTATTGCTAGATACATTTGCAAAGGTAGCATTGCATATGCCAAGTATAAGACCTTCTATAAGGTAGTCCTTCGAGTTGATTCTTCTGGCAATTGAGGTTAATTCTGCTTCGATTAAATATCCTATATATGCTAGTACTTGCACAGCTTCAACTTTCTTTTGGAAGCAAAAAAAAATTGATCTGCTATGCTTGTTCTTTCTTGAGGAGATCATAAAACACCTTTGGCCTTTTGTAGCTTTTAATGCATAGCGTCTGCCACCAAAGAAACCAGTGAGTGAACTCCTTCCAGCAAATTTCAGGAAACTCCCAAAATGTGAAAAAAGAGCTCGGAATAGCTTGCTAACAGGCAATTAGTTGAGAAAATGAAGACGCAACTAGCATAATTAAAATTTAGAAGTAGGTATCACTGAGACAAGAAATTTGTACCTTGAAAAGTAATAATAATAATATCAGTGGCAATTAGCATTCAGAATACATGCAATTACTTTCTCGGCTAATGGTAGTAAAAATTATTTCTAGAAAGTAAACTAGAAGTTGTCTATGCGACATTGAATGAGAACATTTCTCTGCAGAGGAACTCACACTGGAAAGGACAATGCAAAAATACAATATCACCTATTTTAAGAAAGAAAATACAATAATGCTTCATAAAATATTATGTTTTAGCCTATGCAAATCACCTGAATTATTAAACTATTTTGTAATGAAAGGGTAACTTTTCAAGCACGCTAAAAATTTCATGATTGTGTTAATTTCTGGTTACTTGACTAATTTTATGATTGTGAAAAAAGAAGCACTATTGTATTTTTGCTACATAGGTTTCATGATTGTGATAATTTCTGGATATACAGATCAGGATAAATCCATGACCATATAAATAGTATAAAATGGTTTAACTACATAGGATTCATTAGTCTGTGTACATGACTAATTTTATCAAAGAACAGGAAAAAGATTATGAAGAACCTTATATTTTAATAAATATTTAGCACACCCAGTTTCTTTTTGCTGTATCCATGAATTCAGATAATAATTTTTTTTTGGACATTTTAATATTCTTGGCTACCTGCATCGCGAATGCCAGATGGAGTAATGTTGCTTCTGACCATGGTCTCCCAATAAATTGAAGGCCGATTGGTAAGCCTCCCTTGTCATAACCAACCTTAGACATAACGAAGATAAATTCTATAGCAAAGAAAAAGAAAAAGAAAACAATTAATGTATAAAAGAGTTGAAACTTATTGTACCAGAAGGGTAACTGCAGGCAATCCAAGGAAGTTTCCTGCTATCGAGAACCTGACAAGTGCAGCTAGAACAAATATACAAAGACATCATTAGCATCTGCAACTACTAAAGATTTATTTTTTTCTTGGGAAACAGAGCTTAGTTTTGCATAATACATTTCTTAGCTTCTTGTGAATATGCAGCAAAGAGAAAAAGGAAAATTATTCAAATGAAGGTATTGCTAACCTCCATTTATGTAATCTAGTTCTCCAGTGTCCGCAGCATCACTTAGTAATGGGTATGCAGTTACACTGTAGGAATGAGAAAAAAAAAGAAGCACTTGGTGTGAAGACAAAACACACTGAGGAACAGTCAAGGAAAGAGCTTGCTCACTACAAAATTGTATCAGGAATTTCATGTAAAGTTAAACTGGTAATACGCTAATATATTAGTTTGATATATGATATAAATGAACCTCAAAGATGTACGATATAAATGAACTGAAAAAGATATTACAATCTGAATCCCAAATGTATCCAAAACCTAAATCAGCATCTTGATATCCAAACTTTGCCAATGTTGAAAGTTGAAGTAGGTTACCCTGTTGTAGGTGTGACAATCACATCTGCCCTTTTGAAAATTTCTTTGTGGAAGTACATCTGACGGTTCCTGGAAATACATAGAGAATAACATTTCAGTCATGCAATGGAAACAAATAATCAGAATTAGAAAGCTATCTGATTCGACGGACTTAATAGTGAAAATAAGTGACAATATAAAGCTAATGTCATACATTGATTAACATATCAGTCCTAAAAGTTGATGGTGCTTTCAAAAAGTTCACTTAACTAATTTAGGGTAGTTCATGAACTCTAAACACAAATAAGATATTGTGCTTCTTGACAAAGAATTATGTTGCAGAACTTTATACGGCAAAGATCATAAAAGGTCTGTCATAGTACTGAATTGTGTGGTTATCTAGATTTGCTCTTGATACATATTGCTTCTTATGTCTGCAATTGCTACAATTGTTAGTGTACCCGCATAAAGTATTAGATTGTTGTAGCAAAAATGCTAATAGACTGAATTTGGTTGTTATCCAGATATGTTTGTTTTGATATCCCTGCTTAATATTGTTAACCAATACCAACTATAAGTATACTTTTATGCTTATTTTAGTTTCTCATTTTAGAGAATATTTTCTAGCTTTCTATAGTATTCATCTTATAAATGTATTTTGAAACAAAAGGTACAGAGACTTTAAGCATGCCTTTTTTGGCAGTGTCTTTAATTCATTGGGTAACTGGAATTGAGGTATCACTTTTGCTTAATAGTTGTGATATTGAAAATGAAAGTCACAAATAAATGTATTAAAAATTAAATAAACAATGAATCTTCCCTCTAACTCTTCCATGGACTTTGAAGCAACTTACCTGATTCTTTGTGCATTCAAATAGTCTCTGCTACTGAATGAACCATAAACAGAAAGTGCTACTCTTGCATCCCACCCTATTTCTGCATAATCACTAGCTTAAAGCAAAGACATTACATCAGCTTTTAATTATTATTTGAACATAAGCCTGTAACAACTTATTAAATTATGTGTGCAGGACTCTGCTTACAGTTTTGAAAGATGTGGAGCCAATGAAGCAGTGCATTCGGATCCAATTGTTATGTAGTGAGCCAGGCGCATCTCTTCTATCTCAGGTACGGTGACATCAACAATCTAACAAGTATGTGTTAAAGCTTAGTTAAACTAATGAAACTATCATACAAATATGAGTAATCAATAATAACTTGTTAGTATAATTCTCAACATCTCCATATTCTGCATGAAAAAGAAAAACTTTGAAATTTTTAATCTTGGAAATTTTGCAGAAATCATGAACCAGTATCCTAAATCAAATTACATAAGTAAATTCTATACCTTCCATCCATAATGCTGGGATAGCATCTTTAGAGTTTGGTCACAACAGTTTCTAATGTCAATTGTGCTGTCATTAAACCACTGCTTAGTCCAAACAAAGAATTAGTTAGTGTCAATGTTTGAGAATTCAGTATAACAAGAACTTTAATTATTTTTCCCCTCAAAGAAGGTGAGAGGAAGTTATCTAGTTGCAATACTAAGTGTACCAAATTCATGTGAAAAGATGCACAATAATTCTAGATCCACCAAATATGGTAATTTGGTGCTAACCTTGCCATATTTGGCTAATTTGATGTTGGTGATTGACTGCATGGAGTCAAGCAGAGGAAAGTTCAATGAGGGCTGAAAATCACAAGGAAAAAAGGAGTTACAAGTTTGTCTATCCCAGTTGCCAAACAAATTGGTTACTTTTATGGATAATATATACAAGATAAATATGTGGATGAATGAAATGTGGTTATGACCTTCACACCTGTAAAAATGTTGGTTGACTAAATGGAAGATGATCACAAATAGCTGCATAACTGAATTAGCAAAAGCCATATTGAGTTAGATTCAGGTGGATCACGTAAAAAAAAGTACACATGATGATATTTTAGATAAGTTACGTTATAAGTGCATCTTCAACAGTTGCTGCTAATATCCCTGGCATTCCGACTGTCCAATTTAGTGGGAGTATCCTGAAATGGTTATATAAATGCATGTTATAGCTGCAACAAATCGAGTTAGTCCTAGACTGGATATGAAAAGAATTTCTTTCCCAAGATTGGTGGTTTACCCAGAATTTGATAAGCGACCAGAAGTTGGCTTGAATCCAACAATGCCACATAGTGCAGCAGGCATTCTCACAGACCCTGGACAATTTTTTTTTCAGGTGAAAAGACAACCACCAGTTCATTTCAGAAAAGTTGTAATGAGAAAATGAGTAGAGACAACATAAAAGAGCAGATGCTGGCCCGTTAAAGCGTTCTTTTTATTGTGAAAAGGAGACATTGACTCAAAATATCATGTCGACAGACATGAAATGTATATGAAGGCAAACAGGACACCGGACAGCACCAACAATACCAAACATTAGTTACATGGATTTAAGCACAATGTCCTGATCCACCTGAGCCACTTTTAATGCTAACTTGTAAGAAAATACTTTGGTCGAGTTTATACCAGATGAAGGAACCATATACAAGTAATAGCTCTGGATCGAGACTGCTGATTCTCAAGCCGCGGAAGGCTTTTTTATCCACGGTTCCTAGTCTGTTCATATCAAATGGAATGGTCAGGCAGCTGCTCTTAGAGTCGCGTCCTCTGGGTTGGGACTTCTTGACCCGCTTGGCAGAAGAACTCAGTTGTCAGTTAGACTTGCGATCTGGACTATAGTTTGACCAATCAGATGCAATTTGATGTGCTAGATTCACTCCTATTCGCCCTCATCTAATTAATGAACTCCAGGTGCCATCTTAATGTCTGATTCAATCTAATTGGAGCATGAATCAAACTGGTTGATGGCTTAGTAGCTATTTTTCCAATTCTCAATAACTGATCAAACCTTTCCATCAGGTTCTCAATCGTGAACCTCATTAAACATGCTAATTTCTTATTCCTTCGATTTCATCTTTTGCCGTCCGGTTACTTCTGATTGCACTAATTATTCCAGATTTGGGTAATTTGGAAAATGTAATTCATTTGTTTGAAATCATCAAAATTGAAATTCTTTTATTATATCTAATTATGAATATTATGTATCTAGAATGCCATCACGTTGACACTTTTGCGGTTTTGCGCATCATCAGTTAATTTTATTGACCCTAAGTATGTTGTTTATAGTGTTAGGATGCTAAAGAGAGAAGCTCAGGACAGGAATAAGATAAAGTACTAGAGAATTTTGAACGTTATTCAAAACATGTCCTTCCTCTTGCATTGTTTTTTGGGCTTCAAAATTACTTATCTAATCTGAGAAGGAAACGGGATGGCTAATTCACTGGCTGCTTATGCGTGAACCAAAAGGGTTACATCTATGTGGAAGGAGATTGGCCTTTAGAACTAGATTTTTTGGTTCGCTCTAAAGTAAATTGTGTCTTTGCACTATAATAAGTAAAATTTAGTTGTTTGTGTTAGAAAAAAAAATTAAGTACTTGAAAAAAGGAGCATGTGGAGAAATATACTATAGTTGGTTCAAATTTCTCTTGGACACAGCATTGTACTTATGGAAACTTGCCAACCATCTTCTATATTTTTTTTTCTAGGCTTTGTAAGTTTTATTACATGCTCATATTCATATTGATATGACACTTTACTATCCATGTTTGATGTCTATTGCTTCCACACTATTTTGATATATTTGTAACAAGTTCATAAAGCATATTAATTTGTATATACCTGAGATATAAATGAAGCTTAGATCAGAGAACGTGGTCAGACTTGAGTTGACTTGGATCGTTGATATTTTCTGTGGGTTCAATCTATCCCCTGGTTCTGGGGTATGATATATATGAATTTATTGAGAAATGGAAGAGCCATTAATCAATGTCTTTTTTCTTAATTCCAGACTTTGTGTAAATGGGATATACAAATGGCATGGCCATGACAACATTATTAACTTTTTGTTTGGAAATTGGTGTATTATTTGTTACTCAAGATTGAGACTGTGAACCTACACGATTTTACAAGTAATGTTGTAGCATACTTGAGTTTTGACTGTCGTCTTTGAGAGCATCTCTGTAGGATCTCACTCTAAACTGTTTCTGATGAATTATCTTGCTCTTCATGTACCATGATTTGTATGTTCTAGAAATATATCGCGGATGTGGATTTGTGAGTTTATTTGCTATCTAACAGAGAAATATCATGTCCAAACTATTTAGTCAAAAAAGCAAATATTTTTGTTAAAATTGTTGTTATTAGTGAGTTCAAATCTCTCATTCAAATGATTCATTGCCAACCAGGTCAAGTGCTTACCTCCGCCATCGACACCGAGTGCAACTGGACACAGCCCAGCACACACTGCTGCAGCAGATCCACTTGATGAACCTCCAGATATCTTGTTGATGTCGTAAGGATTCCTTGTTGCCCTGTAGAACAGCTTCAAGTTAGCTCTTTCAATTAACTGCTCCGACCATATTTATTAATGACAAGTTTTCATGCGTAGAATGACATACAAACTTTTCATTTCTCCCCTTTCAGAATAACTACAAAATTACTCAAATTCTGCAAATGTGATGCAAGTTATTCCAAGAATAGAAGCCTCTGACTAAGAATTAATATTCTTTGTGCTACCAAGTGTTTATTTATACTTTTTCTTGTGGGATCGGGCAACGTTTTGAGTTCCAAAGAATAAATATTCTTTGTGCTACCAAGTACTTATCTATGTTTTCAGGAACAGTTGCAACAGAAATACTTTTGTTATGGGACTGGGCAACATTTAGAGTTCCAATCACTCCAGAACTTTTGTTTTTGTTTTTTTTAACTAATTAGTGATCTAACACAGTTCATTTTATCTTATTCAGGCATACTGAGGTTGCTTCGAGCAACAGAAGACAAAAAGTGTTTTTTGCCTACCCATAGTGAGGATTGATGCCACTGGCGCCGGCGCCGAGCTCGTGCATGTTGGTCTTCCCCGCTAGGATCGCACCACAAGACCGCAGGTGCTTGACGCAGCTCGCATCCTCGATACACGGCCTCACCTTGTGCAGCCACCTCGTTCCTCCTGAAACAACCCACCATCCAAAGTCACAGGAACACCATCTCCGACCGTGTACAGCGGTAAGTCCTTCAAAACACTCTTTTAAGATATGCTACCGGTAGTAGGATAAGGCATGCAATCGATCTCGTCCTTGATCGCAACCAATACTCCATCCATCATGGAAATTGGGGTGCCTGATAAAACATCAAAACCACTATTATAGCTGATGTGTTCCTCGATCAGGTCATTACGTTATATTTTTTTTTTCTCATTCAAAAATTGAAGATTTATTATTTCTAATCATAGTTAAAATTAACACATAATTTTTAGCTTCATGTGTAAATAAAAAATTTCCACCAAAAGTTTGACTTGTAGTAGTAGTAAGTAGTTCAGGAAGATCAATTACAATGATATAAAATACATGTTTAGAGGGATATAAGAATCTCTATTTTTTAGAGATACATATTATTACCTAATAAATTTTACTCGCCTCAATTGCCAGAAGGAGGCAGAGGGGGCCGACTTCATGGTGACTCTCAAATAACCTCACCTACCCATAGGACAGGTTGGGTATAAAAGAGGCGTCACTCTACATGTTTACAGCGTCATATTAATTATTTTTTGCTGCTTTTAATGTACATTGTACCAAATGGCCATTAAATTCACTCCCCATATTTAATCGAGTTTTCTCAAATTAACTTTGATTTCTTTCTTCCTTTTTTTTTTTTTTTGAATGACCAACATGAATTTTAACCAAAAAGGACAAAATTAGTGTACAAACGTAGTCTTACCTTTATATCATACATAGAGGTCTCTTTTTTTTTAATCTTTATGTAAATTTTAATCTAATGAAAAAAAAAATTAGAAAAGAAAATAAAAGAAGTATATGGTTTGGTTAACAAGAATTGACTTGGTTTTTACCAGAAGAACCTCAGAATGATCGGTGCATGATTCACCTACAACAGTTAAATGTCAATTTCATGCTAGCTCAGTTGACCTTGTTGGAAGTCAACCACAAGTTAACTCTGTCGGACAAGAAGGTCAGCCGAGAGAGCTCATTCTGAACTGAGGTGACGACACCAGATGTGAGATGATGACCCAAATGAGGGAAACCAAGGTTGCAGTGATGGCTACCAACCTCTGTGATACCTCCGTGATGATTCCTCTGCCTGCCTGAGAATGTCTTCGTGGCTGTAGCTGATGAAGAAGGCCATGTGGAGTTTGGGATCCTCTGTCTCCTTCGCCGCAGCGAGAAACCTCCTCGCCACCTGTAGATATGTGGTCGTGAGATCCGAGCAAGCGTTCTTCTGCGTTTGGAGTCGATTCCAAGAGCAAATGGCACACCTCAAGAGGAGTCGTCTCTCCTGATTTGTAGGCTCTGAAGAAGTCCCGAATCGTCCAGCGCTTGAATTGGGAAGCCGAGTCGGTGAAGGAAGAATCCAAGCATGGAGGAAGGCAGCTTGCAGCTTCCTGAACTCGTTCGGCAGGCGACAGATTGGGCTTTATGGGAGTAACACTCTGTTCTGAGATATCTGAGAGGGAGAAAGTGCACGAATCATTACATCCGACCGAACAATTCGAGTTCGAGAAGCGATCAAAACCTTCGCTGCTATGGGTGGCAGTGAACAGTGGCGGCTCCTGGATCTCTGCGACCGAGACGAGCTGCAAGAAGACGAGCCATCAGAGGGAGAGGGAGAGGAAGAGGATGGGCAACAAAAGTGTACCCTCTGTATGAGGTTGTCCTTCTTCAGTATGTAGAGAACGATCGATCCGAGGATGGGCGACTCGAGAATCCACACGAAGATCTTGACGAGAAGCCCCGCCACACGAGGAGCTGCGATTCGGGGGAGGCCAACAAGCTTCGATCACTGCGACATCTCATGAGGACGTTCCCAGAAGTGGAGCAGAACAGTGGTTACCTTTGACGTTGGCATGCAGGTAGAACTCGTCGCTGTGGGCGCCGAGGTCCACCTCGGGGGCAGGCTTGTACGCTTTCCCGGCGTCCCTGAAGAGTCCCATGGCCTTCACACCGATGTGAACTCGTCGAAGACGACGACAGCCACCTGCTCCTCTGTGTGTTCTTTGGATTGTTTGTGCGTGTGTATATACATATATATATAGAAAGAGAGGGGGGGAGAGAGAGAGGTGTTTGGGGGCGGAGTTGGCGAGAGAATAGTAGCTCAAGAAACAGAGGATGCCAAGCAGAGAAAGAGAGAGAGAGAGAGAGTAATGAAAGGAAAACAAAGAGAAAGAAGAAGAGTAATAGGTGGGTGCAAAGCGAGAGAGAGAGAGAGAAGGATGGAAGGAAGACGTGGTCCTATTTCTTGTGACCATGCTTTGGGCCGTGCCGTTTCGCCTCACACGAAGTCACCTTCACCGGGTCGATGTGCACGTGACACTGCCGTTAGTTTCACGTAGATTGATTTGTAGGATTCGATGAATCTACGACCATTCGTTTTAGCTTAAACGTTTCGGATCGGTAGTTCCGATTTATATGATTAATACATCAATTATTGTATAGATAATTTATGTATTATGGATACAAATATTGATAATTGATTTGTAGATTGATTTGTAGGATTCTATGAATATATTATCATTAATTTGAGCTTAAATGTTTTGGATCGGTAGCTTCGATTTATATGATTGATGCATCAATTATATCTAGGATCAAGTCGCAACAAAGGTATAATTAAAAAAGGCTAGAGATATATCATAGTAGAGGGAATTAAAAATGTATGAGAAGAATCGAGTTGGATTCAAGTAGTCTAGTCTAGTAGTTTAGCCAATTATCACATCGAGTCGAGGCGTGAAGGGATTTGATCTACCTTGTCAACTCGTCGAATTAGATTAGATCACTTGTTTGACTTTGTATCATATCATCGTAAGTTAAATATTATTTTATTGATATTAATGGTTAAACGAGTCTACTATTATCGACTTAATTATTTTTGGATCAGTAGTGTAGTCGATTATCACACTAGACCAAATTATAATTATTTAATATATCATATCAGTTCAAATCGAGCAATAGGACGATACCATATTAGTCGAATTGTTCTCTACTTACTTACGATGAATGATAAATATGGAGCTAACTTGTTAAATCGATTATTATCGACTTAAATATTTTGAGTTAATGATTTAGTTATTTATCGCCTGATCACAAGATAGATGACGTAGTTGAAGATGACACATCATGAATATTAATGTTGTACTTTTAATGCTCAACCAACCGACGAGGGCTCATCTTTAGATTTGGAGACTCAATTAATGGTTGCTGAAGCATATCACTTTCGATGAGGCAGAGAGATTTCTAATCTCTGCTGTTTGCTTATGAGAGATGTCGAATTGTAATGGCAATGTCGGAGATGAGCATTGCATTGATGTTAATCTCCCAACTGATTGGTTCCACATTCATCTCACACTTTAATGATTTAAACTTTTTTTTTTTGTATTTTGAACTTTATGATCAATCTTCGTTATCAATCCGACGTGACGAAATTGATCGGATCGGCCTCCTTTTTTTCCAAGTAGTAAACTATTTCGTAGAAAAATTTATCTCGAACATAAATAATAATAATAATAATAATAATAATTGTATTTCATATCCGTTATCTCATTAATATAAAGGACTATGATGCTCAAACAAGTTTTGATTTCTCGTTGGGATCAAAGAAATGCTCTAATTTAGATGTTTAAAGCAAGTTTAGAGAGTTGCTATATATTATCAATTTAATGAGAGAATATTCCCTTTTATGTACTACTAAGATAATGCAAGCATTGTTTAGTAGGTTTCGTGTGATTTTGGTAGCTGATGTGATGTGACATAGTTCAATAAATTAAAATTAATGTGTCAAAATGTTGATTGACGAAATTAATGATCATATCATGACAAAAGTCACATCCATTCTTTATGAACATTTGCGACAAAGAAAAGGATTAAGAAAGAAGATCAATTCCACATGACCAAAGAAGAGTAACTGATTTGCTGAACTTTCTTGGAGAATCCACCCATGTCAATCAATTCCAAAATTCTTTGGAGAAAGATAGATATAATCTTAACATCAATTAAGACATCAAGAATTGTTTGTCAAAAGCAAGCATTTGGGTTTGGTATGTCACCCAAAATGGATTAGCTTTTCCCTAAAGTCATCATCATCATCTCTTGTTGATCTTTGCAGCATACCAACTGCAAGAATTGGTGGCTTCCATCATCATTTGTCTATAGTATGTGAGCTAAGTTATTCCATCACCACTTGCATTCTACTTGTGATCTCTCTCTCTCTCTCTCTCTCTCTCTCTCATACATGACACAAAAAATGAAGGGGAAATCTTGTATGAAAATTAGTTGAGGGCATTAGAGGTTTACAAAGGAGACTCATGTGATGTGTCTGTCCACAAGGCATCATTGCCATGGTTTGTTAATGCCCATCCTTTTAGGTTGCCAAAATCTAGAAGCCATTCCAAGCTCACCAACCAAGTCCCTTTCAATCAAACACTTCACAGTTTACTTGCCAGAGCTCGAGGGACTTGCAGAGAGAAGTCAGCAAGCAAAGAGAGGTTTTATGGAAGAGAAGGAAAAGTGCTCAAACTAAAGCAAACTTTTGCTCAACTTCTCCTCTGAATGTAGCTGAGAAGGAATCAGTAAGCAAGTCTTACTCACAAACAATGGCCAAAGCTCGGTTCTCCATTTTCCTCGACGATTCATTGATTGATTGCTTTAGAAGAATGTTACCAGCATCATCCAGCATTGCAGGACTAGAAGAAGAAGAAGCTCTGAGAGCAACTTAATTCGACACAAGAGATGCTTCTTGTTCTTGACACTGTAACCTGGTAGAGACATGTCCAATGGAGACTGATCTCCTTGGTTGATCCTGAACATAATCAGAAATATTTCAGTTGATTTCCTCTGATGGTGAATGTCTCCCTTTTGATTTTTGTCTAGTCTTAGCTTTGATGTTTCTGATGATGTTTATACTATATATATATATATATATTGATATTTTGTTCAATTTTTAGATAAGTAATTTGTTTCTGACAGATTGTGTATATTATTTATGCTTGAGACCAGTGGTAGCTGACATTTTTATATGGTTTGTCTCACAGTGTGAGCAATAAATGTGCCTCCTATGCAGTTTAATTTACTTGAAGTCATCTGCCAAGAAGTGGGGTTTATGAAACTTAATGCATTGATGCAAACAATGTACAACAAATTTGTAGAAAGATGGACCCCAATATCTATAAGATAGATAGATAGATAGATCTTCCGACATCCATTTGAATGAATCGAAGAGAATAATATTTTTTTTTCTTCGTTATATTATATGGATACGAGTCTCTCCGATATAATTTAGGATCTCATCTTTTGTTTTCTTTAACTCGCACCTTAGACTTGTCGTATCGTATTCACAACATTACATGTTCCAACACGTTTCGAGAATCGGTCGGTAGTGGATCGAGTCGAGTCGACAACTCTTGATGTGACGACATAGATCGATGATCGACTCGACACGATACTAAATTGGTTAATTTACTGTACTCATTGTGTAGGAGGAAGAAATAAAGGGAGAAGAAGGGAGACAGGTAAGACAGACAGACATTTCTTCTGGCTCTCGTTCCCTGCCGTCTTCCAAATCGATTTGGACTCAGGTACTTGGGACTTGGCGTTGTTTTGGATGGCCACAACCTCTGAACATGGATGGCAATCGGCGTTGCAGGAGCAATCAATCACTCACTAATCCATTATGAACTTGGAGACTTGTGTCCGCTCCCTTCGCTTTCTCCAACATGGAAGGAAGCTTCCATCCTTTTATGACGCTGCTCTTCTCTTCCATCCCATCCACCTCTCTTTCCCTTCTCCGACGACCCGAGGATCGAGGGGCCACAAAGGGGTCTTACTATGGAATCAACACCAACCTCACCAACCCATAACAGGTCGGCACCAGCTTGCACTGCACTCCGATTCATTCATTACTCGAAACAGTTCCCTCCCAAGTTGTCAAAGTGGACACCTTTTCTTTCGATGGTGGAGGTTTTTATTATTGTCGATGGACCCATAAGCCACCTACAAGTTTCGGCTATTTGCTCCTCGGAAGAGCCAAACATTAAAGAAAAAGTCCTGTGTGTGGTTTTTCTTACTTGTTCTTCCCTTTTTCTCTCGCTTGCCTCCTTTTCTTTCACGAGGGTCGGACGACGATGTAGAACAACACCTTACCTTGGAGTAAAAGATGAACCTGAAAGCACAAATAAGAAGAGGCTGTGAAACCAACCGTACGATGTCGAGTAACTGTGGTGTTTAGTCTACAACTCGAAGCAGATCCGTATCTACAGATTTTAGTAAGCAAGTACAGTGGCCAGACAACGAATCGCTTAAAGGATAGAAGAGTATTCATTGTGAGGTTTATTAGATTATGATATTTACTGCAAGCTGTGATGTGAGGAGTAAAAAACCACAAATCATCAACTCAGGTTATTGAACTCACATTAACTTCCTTCAGTAAATAAGGACAGTGTTATCATGATCCAGATGGTGACAATGGTGGAAACATGCAATTTGGTAAGACCTCCCTTGCTGCTGCTGCTGCTGGCCACTCTCTACCGACCTGTGCTTGAGTTCCCAGGACAACAACCATCCATCTATCCATCCTCTGTGGGTCGGTGCCCATTCAACTAGTCTCAGGATTAATCCATCCATCGATTTGGTCCCCCACCGTGCTGTTTGTTTGTGCAGGAATGAGGCTTCCGAGAATTCAATGTGGGTCATATGGAGCTGATGTAGATTGTGTGATCATGGAGAGAGAGAGCTCGGTAAAATAACATGGACGACGACGACGACGACTCATTTATGGCCCTTTGCTTTCACCATTATGGCCATCATCAACTTCTACTAACAAGTAGTTGATATGGTGGTGGTGCCAATCAGGGATCACCGTATGCTTTCATCTCTCTCTCTCTCTCTCTCTCGACCGTCCATTATCAATCTCTGTACTATTCCTCCACCCTCTTTCTAGTACCATGATATATATATATACTACACCTCTTCCGAGTCCTCTACTATCAATCTCGGTACTCTTCCTCCACCCTCTTCGAGTACCATGGCATATAC